TAATAATTCACATTGTGAAAGGGATTTGAATTTTTGAAACTTCCATATATATTTTTCTGTACTAAATTTTATTATTTACATGAAAGATGCAAACTCCAGCAATTGATAAAATAAGGTCTTATGTCTAAAATCATCAGAATTGTGCAAATATTAAATCTTTAATCTAGTCCCTATGATGAAATTTCTGCTCAAGAATTCCATCATTCCCCACCTCATCTCTCAAACATGGATTTCTATATGTTCTATAAAACTTACTGTATTCATTTGCATTTAATATATTGCCATTGATGTTTCTATTGATTTTGTAATTTCACAGGTTTCAAGATTAATACAACTTGTTACATGGCATCTAATTCACAAATTTGAAGGTGGACCCATCTTTCTTTCCCAATTGTGCATTCACATCTCTCGTGTAGTTGAGATTCTTCACACTGTTCTTTCCTCAAGTTTCTTCCCTTGCCCTGTTTAGTAGAATTTTCTTTCTCTGTGAATCAGTGAATAAATTTCATCTTCTGGCATAAACTTTTGAAAAATCTACTGTGTTATTTAGATCTTGAGTATGGAACTCATTTCTTGTATGAATGTGTGTATAGAGTGTGTCTGAATGGCAATGTTTGTACAGTCTTTGTGTGCATCCATATTAAAGTGTTTGTGTGCAGTGCAAGCATAAAATTTGGGATTGAGTTCCTCCTATCCACCTTCACCTGGGTGCTAGGCATTAAAATCAGATTGTCAAACTTAAAAGTCCAAAGCTTTGCTGGGCAGCTGTAGTGCACACCTTTAATCCCAGTACTTCGGAGGCACAGCCAGGTGCATCTGTGAGTTCGAGGCCAGCCTGGTCCACAGAGCAAGATCCAGGACAGGCACCAAAACTACACGGAGAAACTCTGTCTCAAAAAACAAATGAACAAAAAGCAAACAAAACAAACAAACAAAAATACAAAGCTTTACACACTGTACAATCTTATTGTTCTTACGTCACATTTTAATTGAAACAAATTTTCTGACTGCCACAACCATGCACAATATTGGCTGCACTTCCATATTTACATGGAAAAGTGCGGGGGCGGGTGTTGACTGTGAAGTTCATATCAAATGAACTTCCAAACTTAAGACTGCTGATTTATAAAGAGTTTAAATCAAAATATAAATAAATTGGAAGGCTAACTGCCTAGCACTAATGGAATAAAGCCATCTGATTGGATCCAACAATACACGATGTGTGTTCCATAAAAACATGATGAAAGATCTTGTAACCATGACAATTAAATGGATTGGAGTAAAAATATTCAAAACAGGAGTCATGGGTTGTACCTAGGGTCTAACATCTCCCAAGTAATGAGCTTTAACTGAGGATTATACAACCTGACGTGTATATATTCCTGCAGAACTGGCCTCAAATCCAATTAGAAATCTATATTTTTCTATAGTAAAAATTATATGATAATATTCAAATATTCAAAACTGAGTGCATCTTGTCAGGGACGACTGTTGTAGCATTCAGGATCAAGTGCTAAGTAAGACCGCTGATTTCCTTCCTACTCTTAAGTAATGTTTTACACCTTCTAGTATGATGTTATCTAGCAATCCCATGGGTGTCTATCAAATGTGTTCATTTGTGTTTAGTTTGGTGTCAATATCTACTTGCCTTCCTTCCAACAGACCCCCCCACTTATGCATAAAATTTCAGTAGATATTTATCTACTACACTTTCTTATCTGCTGTGTACCGCTATGTGGAATTTTTTGAATGATTTTTTGTGCTTTAACAATGGTACATTGTCTTAACTGTCCTTCATACATTCAATATGTTGTTTAATTCATCAAAGTATATCTCATTTCCCCTTTCACTTTGCTAATTCAACACTTTAAACCTGTATTTTACTTTCTAATAGCAATTTTTCCTTTGTCTACTGTTCCCTATTCTGTAAGCTACTTACCCAGAGTGGGCAGTTTCTTGAAGAACTCATTTTAACTCCCGATTAAATATGCAAGGTAAAAATATTGAAAACTAGTGTCTACATATGAGACTTTTATCTACATGAAAAAAAAAAACTTTAATTAGAGTAGCTCACAAGTCCATAGTCAAGGACTCAATATGCTTATTTGGTTTTCACCCAATAACAATTGCAAACAAAAATTTTAATGGTGTGTGACAATGATTATTATCAGTCTTCTGAAGCCATCAATCTTAACTGCTATATTAAATTACACATCATTTGTTAAGAGGGTACAAACTCAAAGGCATTAGATTAAATATATCATATAAACTTGATTAGCCCACAAGACTTTGATTAATAAAGAAATTTCATAAAGGCATTCTGAAAGGCATATATGAAATCACAATACAGTCTCTGGTACTATTTTTCTTGATCAACAGAACATTGAGAAAATTAACCAACTTCAAGAGAAATAATGAGTCTTTATCCAAATTATGACATGAGTCCTCCTGAACACCTGAGACAAAGCAATCTTTTGAAACCTCTTTGATGACCTCACTACAAAAGCTTTGTAGCTTTTGTCATTTTGGTCATTTGTGTTTACATCAATTTAAATGAAAGCCTTCATGGTACATCGTTGTGTAAATGATGGCTGACAGAGGCCCCATTGTTTGGGTTTGTCAGGAAGTTGATGGATACAACACACATTATAAAAGGGTTTATTAGATGGATCAGTCAACTTCTGTTTTGTCATCCTTTGCTTGCATTCTTTTTTCTGTCTTTTAATGTATTATTAATATATTTGTTAATATAACATTATTAATGGAGTATTAATGTCAACATGTTGGGTTGTGGAGCCTAGACCCACGTGATCTGAGTATCTTGCATTCTCTTGCAGTCCAGGCCCACCCGCCTAGACGATGGTGCCCTGTGCCATGTGCGAGGTCCTTGAACCCTTGTCACAATCAGGTCAGTTCTTGGGTTGTGTCACTAAATCACAGTCAGGGCCATCCTTCATAAACATGACAATACACTGAGCTGATAAGAAAAATTAATGGATTTCGTGGTTTTTGAGCTGAAATTAAATTTAAAAAAAATTTGAAGTTAAATGATATGACATTGTATAATAATGCTGTAGATAGTATGTCTTTAAAGTGACCACATGCATACCCCGCCATTTTCATAAAGATTTATTCATTTCAGTTTATGAATGAATGCACATGTTTCATGAACCCCTGGTACGGTTTGGCTTCATGCACAGTTGCATAGTTTCCACGAGGATCCCTAAAATGAATACTAAACAACAGGCTTCTAAAATTGAAAAAATCATTTTAAAGATTTAAAAGTTTCTTTATAGCATTCAAATAAAGAAAATATGTTGCAAATTTCCTTTACCATGTGTGATCTTGATATGATCTTTCATAAATATAAGAATACGGATGTCAGAGAATGTGGACACGATTTGAACATGTGTAGTTCATAGGATTCTTTCAAACCTGCAAGGTCGATTCCCCAGCTAATTTTAAGCTGCACTTCACCCTCAGATTATGAGGTAAGCAAATATTCTAAGCACAAAACCACATGGTCTCTCTGGGCTCCTGAAAATGTCCTTAAAATTAGAACCAGGGATGGAAAGATGTCTCAGTAGCTAGACTTCCTTTTGCCTCCAAGACACAAGAATCTCAGCCTCCTTTCAAGCATCATGACAGTCTTTATGCTGGCACGCTCCCCACCATGACGAAAAATGTAAATAAGCCATCCTAATTAAATATTTTAATATATTTAGTATATTTCCATTGTATAAACATAAAATTCATATTCCTTAATGCTAAACTCCATGATGATTTTGTGACCACAGAAGGGTCATAGAGCAGATGAGGGATCAGTGATGTGTGCTTCATCAAGGCATGTAAGTTCTCTGCTATATGCATCTGTGATAGCGTTAAAATGTGCATATGAAACTTGTCATCTTCATTGTTTACAAAGTAACAAGCTCTAACTCATTAAAATTTGCCTCTTTAGACCATCTTAGAAATCATGGTAGAGTTTTTCCCCATTGGAACATTCAGTTCACCATTAGGTCCAATAGCAGAGTGAATATCACAGGTTATTGCTCAAAACCTATGAATTTCTAATGATGCAAATAATAACATAAATTGGCAATTTAAAAAGTGAAGTTTGAAACTCCATCCTCTTTATATAGCACAGGATCCAAGAGTACAGTCTCATCATTGTCCTTCAATGTTATATAATGTGTTTCCTTGTGTATTTGACAATAAGTCACATCATGCCAGACTTCCCTGAATGAAAATGTCATTGACAAAATGTAACAGTGTCAATCAAAGTCCTGGACTGAATGCCAAACAGGACACTCTTACAAGTAAACAAGCTTCGACCCACGAAGGGAAACAGATGGAAAGTGTTTTAGTTGATATCCTCTGTAACGACTGAAATTCGGATCATTTCTCAAGAAGCTGGAAACTGAGACATAGAAAAATGAAGATTCTTCTGTTAACTGCTGTCCTCGGCTTTGTTGGCACAGAAGAGGTACTTAATACTAGATAAATTTATTTTTCCTAAAACAGAGCAACTTGCAATATTGTCGTAGACAGTGCAGCAATCCTTATCAATCAGTCTAAAGCTGCAGTTGTATTCACAGTAATTCTATGCATCAGAGAAAACGGATTTAATGTCTTCTAGTTTTAACAATGCTTGAGATTAATTCAGTACAAATATATGGTTTGTGTATATGTATGGTTATACATGAAAGACATTGTGATAGTATGCATTTTATAATTTTTAAAAAAAATAGAGCACAAGGCATCTATAGGATTATTCAAATAAATATGAATTTAATTTCTCCTCCTCTCCAAAAAAGGCTTAGAAGTTGAATTGGATATTTTAAATACAGTAATATTGCTGAAGTCTTTCCATAGCAAGACCTTTTGTTGGATTTACTGAAAACACAATCATAAATTTAAAAACATAAAAACATGTTATAAAATAAATGTGTTTTAGTAAGGTTAGGTATAACGTGTAGGTTCCTGTGCAGGAATGACATTTTGTCTCAAAACTTACAGTAAATAAAATTTATTTGTGCGGAAATGCTGGTAATAATAATGTGAACGTTTGTTTTAGTGTCATTTGCTAGTACTGTGGTATCTCTTCTTTGCTGACTGGGAATTTTCAGAAAATCTCCCAGGTTCATAGGCTAAATAGTTTTAATTTCTTCTCCTTTCAACCTACCAGTGTTGACCTGATTACTTCAATTATAAACTGATCATTGACTTAAGTGTCCTTTCTTATTGCTCTTGCTAATACTGTAAGTGCTTTTATATTTTATTGCATGTATACTCATATTTCTTTGCTCTGACAAGTAAACAATTATCTCTTCATATTTCTGGATATTTGGCAATAGATGAAACTTTTCTCAATACAATTGCTTG